GGCGTCCCCACCTCCAGTCTCCCTAACCCCGTCCCTGCCTGGCTGACCCTGGGTCCTGGTCAAGACCCCCACCCCAGTTCTGGAGGGGAAATCCTGCTTTGAGGTCTCACAGTGCCAGAGGAAGGAAGGGAAGGAGAGAGTCCAGGGGTGGACCCAGGAAAGCTGGTTCCCAGGACCCCACCCTGGGACTGCCTTGTGTCCCGCCAGAGAGTCAAGGTCTCTGCTTGTCTTTCCACTTGGCCACCAGTGGGAATGCTTCCGGGGCTTTCTGGCTCACAGGTGCAGCGGGGTGTTTCCAGCGCTGGCAGGCTCCAAGAGGGCAATGGTATGAGCATGAGCAGGGGTGGCATCGAGGGAGTAACAGTGGTTGGGAGCAAGCTCCCAGGGCAGGGCAGCTGGACAGATGGGTGGTGTGAGAGGTCTGCAGAAGGTCAGACAGTCGGTCAGGCCACCGTCGGCCAGCTCACAGAGGTCACGTACCTACACAGGGTGGGGTGCCCCTTCTGGCATCTCGTCAGGGCAGCAAGCGCTGGGTTGTCACACAATTGTGTGCTAACCTGACCCCACCCAGCAGAGAGGCCCCATTCCTTTCTGCTTCCTCCTCAGGCCAGCCTCCCCAGCTCCCTTGGGATATACCCTCTGCCTGTGAGGAGCCCTCAAGTGAGAGGGAGAACATGCTGGCAACTACAGGGCAGGGGGCCAGGGCTGCAGGGGCCTCTAGAGTGCCTTTTCCTGACCTGCCAGGGCCACCATGTGGCATGCTGGCACTCCTCTGCCTGGCACTGGGCCCTGCACCTGACCCTGAACAGCCCCAGCCTCTTCTGGCCACAGCTCCTCTCCTCTGTACAGTCCAAACTGCACCTGGCTAGAGACCTAGCTCCCAGTCCTGCAGAGCGACAGAGCCCAGAGAGAGATCAGTGTTCCTGATGAAGGGGCCCACTTGGGCTGGAGAGGTAGCCCTCGCCCATAGCGTTTGAATTTGCGGCTCTTTGCAACCTCCGGCCTGTGCCTAAGTTTACTCTGCCATTCAGGGAGAGCAGGGGCCTGTGGGAGGGGCGGCGAGGGCCTTATGGGGACCTGGCAGGAAGATAGGGCAACCGAGGCAGCCCCGGACAGGGGAGGGCCGGGGGTCCAGCCTCCGCCAAGGGCTTTGCTCATCTCATGCGCACTCTGGGAACGTATTCAAAGTGGCACCGGCCACCAGGCCCTACTCCCTAACAGCGGCCCTGCCCCTAGGGATGAGGTCCAGCCCCGTGCAAGCCTCCCGATCCGGGCGTTTCAGAGCTGGGCGGCCCAAGCCCATCCCGGACGGTCTGAGGCCAGCTGACCCCGAACCGGATCTTTTGGGGAAACCGTCGAGCGCGGAGACTTCTGGGGAATAAAGTTCCCACCAGCCTCCCTCATCCCCAGCCCGATCTGTTTTGCGCATGCGCCAGCCTCCGCCTCCCAACGAGCAGCAGAGTCTGTAGGGGTGGTGGGCGGGGTTTCCGGCGCCTGCGCAGTGGGCCTCTGTCGCCCGCCTTCTAAGTCCGGGTCTCTCGGCCCGTTTCGCCCCGTATCCGGTGCCCCATCGGTAGAACTTGTGTCCAGACCGGTCTGACCGGCCCCACACAGGCCACTCTGATCACCTGGCCTCTGGGCCCCGTCTGGTTTGATCCCGCCCTTCCTGGGGGTTCCCCCGCGAGCTCCACGGGTTAGGGATGTGGGTCCAGGCCGCACGCCACTGCCCCCGTCGCCCCAGAGGGAGCTTACCAGTGCCAGGCCCAAACTCACGTGATCGCATCCACTGTCACCCCCGTCTACAGCGACCCTGTATGGCGCAAGCTATGTGCCACCTTACAGATGAAGGTGGGAGGGGGTGCAAGGGCCAAGGACGGGGATGCTGAGGAGGGACTTGGGGCCCACGAGCCGACCGCGAAGGGAAACCGTAGTTTCTTGTATGAGCTAGAAGCGTCACTTGTGTATGAAGCCCATGTCGCCAATCTTAAGTACGTTTTATTGGCAAAAGTAAGTAAATCAAACATTTTTTTATCAGTTAAAAAACAGCAAAGCTCCGCGCAGTCTGTTCACAAACACCTTGATCTCTGCCTGCGAGGTCGAAGCTGTGAGTGACAGTGGGCACCTCTTCCTTCTGCTTCAAAGCAGGGGCTTTGAGGTGTGTGAGTGATGCCCGGGGACCCCAGACGACCTGCGGGCCTGGACTCTGTGGACCTGACCCCAGTGACCTGCAATCCAGGAGGGCCAGGACATGCCCCAGATGTGTTGAGTCTGAGTCACCCCGAATGGCAATGTCCCTCAGAGCCCAAGCCTTGGCCACCACCCATCTGAAAAAGGAAGGGTGGGTGGGCACTGTGCTGGAAGAGCTGGGCCTCCTGGGATCTTGGGAACCCTGTCTGGGAGCCCCGCCCATGGCCCCGCCCCTCCCCAGTAGGGAAAAGGCAGCAGCCAGTCCCTCAGCTCACAGACACTGGGACCTGGCCCAGAGGACAAGAGGACTCCTTGCTACCATCACCACTTCAGGTGAGTCCTGAGCTGAGGGGCTCCCCCACCCACCCAGGACCAGCTTAGCTGCATCTTCCAGCCTCCCCCACCCCAACCCAGCTCCATCGCAAGGCACTGCCTCTCAGGGAAGGCAGAGGACCCCTGGGGCACAGCTGGGAGACACTTGCCTCCTTGCACATGCACTGACACACAGACCTTGAACACTCTTGGCATTTCCACAGCCTCTGCCACCCCTGCCAGGCTGGGCCATGGACCCCCACAACATGATGGTCAAGAACCCATATGCCCACATCAGCATCCCGCGGGCTCACCTGAGGCCTGACCTGGGGCAGCAGCTGGAGGCGGCTCCATTCTCCTCAGAGTCGCAGCCTGTGCCTCTGGGGCCCTGCACCCTGGAACCCGCCAAGGAGGCCCCAGGGTCCAAGGGGGCCAATTCCATCCAGGGCCAGCAGGCCTGGCAGCCACCCGGCAACCCCTGCAGCAGTGGGCAGCGCCCGGCAGGACTGACATATGCGGGCCTGCCGCCAGTTGGGCACGGCGACGACATCGCTCACCACTGCTGCTGCTGTCCCTGCTGCTCCTGCTGCCACTGCCCCCGCTTCTGCCGCTGCCACAGCTGCTGCTGCGTCATCTCCTAGCCTGGCCCCCGCCAGGCCGTCGGGCCTGCTGCTGGACCGCTGGCACAGCAGCCGGGCCGGCCTCTGCTCAGGCGACCACAGCGGTGCCCAGACTGTTGGGACAGCCACTGGACTGTTGTCATGGGCATTGGCCAGCCCCCACCCTGGCCAGGGGCACCTACTTGCCAAGAAGGCTAATATCTCAGCTCATGCCCCCCAAAACAGAGCCCTGAGTGCCGGCTGCAGTGGCAGCCCTGGGGACACTCTTGACCACCCCTTCAAGGCCCAGGGCCCAGGCAATAAAGCAGAGTGAGCTTTGTTTCGGCGACTCTTCTCCCTTGCTGCTGCCCCTTTTGGGAGGGGTCCCAGGCTAGACACCACAGGCTGCCAGCCTCTACGGGACATTTGGGGGTGGGGAAGCCATTGTCTCCTGACCACCTAACCTGCACTGCAGGTCTCAGGTCTGCCCTGAGAAAAGCTGGACAGGCCTGGGTTTGAGCTGCACTGCGTTCCCCGGGCCAAGGCTGAGCCTGGGAGACAGGTCAGTCAGTGGGTCAGACAGCAGGAGGATGCTGTGTGTGGTCCTGGGTGGGTAGAGCCCAGGAGAAGCCTCCAGGAAGAGGACCAGGGTGGCGGCCAAGTGGTGGGAGGGACCAGCACTGGCAGGTTTCTGGGAGGGGAGCCCAGGCGGCCAGCACCAAGCCCTGCCCACCTGTGAGTCACTGCCCTACCTCGGCTGGGCATTTTTCTGGTTTCCCTCAAAACATCCAATTTCTGAGCAACCGCTGTGTGTGACTCCCTGCTGTCCTGCCTTTGGGGCCCGGGCTTCCTGGCGGGGTGGGTGAGTGGGCAAAGATGTGGGACCAGACCCGCCTCCCACCTGTCCAAGCAGCGTAGCACAACTGTGTCAGGGGACATGGGAGGAGCTGAGCAGCTCGGCACCGGGGTGAGGCGAGGATGCTGGTGTGGAGTGTGAGCTGGGGGGGGCGGCTCTGAGCACCCTTACATTTTTGGGGCTGGGCGGAGAAAGCTGGAGGAGGAAGCTGAGCTGGCCTTGCAGGAAGGACTGGTCCTGGTGCCGGCCCTCCTCATCCCTGGTGACTGGCCACATGGCAGGACCGGTCTCAGGTATGGGCAGACACATCAGTGGCCTGACTGCAAAGGGACTCAGGTATGCCAGGATCCAGCCCCTGCCCTATGGCTGGCCCCTACAAGAAGATTGCCCTACCCAGGCCAGCCACAAAAACCCATCTGACCAGTCCAGGAGGCTGGGGGCAGACTGCTGGGGTGCTAGAATAAAAAGAGGGCCCCTCTGACCCCTGGCCTTCCCTAGCCGGGCAGAGAGGGTCCTGGAGGTCCTGACCCCGTCCCAACCCCTCCCCACACACCCCATTATCCTGTGCACACAGTCCTTGTAAGTGGACTGGCCCAGGGGCTTTGGCCAGGTGGATGCTAGGGGCAGGCAGCCTCTGATAGGGGCGTCCAGGGCTTCCTACGGTGCCCTCCCCCTCAGGGAGTTTCTGGGTGGTCTGTGTGTGTGTGAGCGGGGATCTCCACACCAGTGCCTGAAGGCCTCCTTGGAGCCTTGTGGGGCTGGCCACTGCCCCATAATGGGAACACAACAGGCCCAGCCCAGGCAGGGACAAAGGCACTGGGACAAGTCCACAGGGACATGCACAAAGGCATTGAGCCACGGAGCAGCAGGACCCCTCAGGGCGCTGAACTGGTGGGAGTCCTGGCAGGCTTCCTGGAGAAAGTGATGCCTGAATTTAAGAGCTTGAACTGAAAGCCAAAAAGCTCTCCCATTGTTGGGGGTAGGGGTTAATGGGACACGAGTGAGCATGAGTGCGCGGGTTTTGGACGCAGGTCTGGGTGGACAAGGCGAGAAAATGGGCAGTGTTGAGGAGTGACACTGAGGCCTGGGTGAGGGGTTAGTGGAGCGGGGTCTGAGCGTGGACGGGCGGGGCGGTTGGAATGGGGGGCACCTTATCTCCTGCTGAGTTGGTGGTGCCGATGGATCTAGTTGCAAGCTCTTTGTGGCTGAAAGGGGAGCCCATGTCTGCCCGCAGCCACCACCTGCCTCCCTGCTGACTGGTCTGTGCTCAACCAGTAACGCGAGCCCCAAGGAGGGAGCCGCAGGGCACCCTGGGTCCCCCCCACCCCGGCCACCCCGGCCACCCTCTGGCTGGGCATAGGGCACCCAGCAGAGCGGATGCAGGTAAGAGAGGCCTGGGGCTCAGGCAGGCTGGGGTGGGTGGGTGGGGGCCAGAGATGGTGCGAACAGCAGGCCAGGATGCTGCCCAGCCAGCAGCGACAGGAACCCAGGCTGCACCCAGACCCTGGTGTCTGCTAGCCCCAGTGGCCACCACTCAGCCTCCAGGTCTGTGGAGGCCTGGGTTCGTGTCCTCTGGGGTGAGCTCCCGGTGCTGAGGCCCAAACCATGCAGGGCACTTGCAGAGGCAGGGAGGGGGAACTGCATCTCTCCTGCATGCCTCCCCCAGGATGCTGCAGCCAGAGGGTCCCTGGGCTACTGAAGAGGGCACGGCCGCAGGGACCCCACGAGGTGACTGCATCATCTGCTACTCGGCCTATGACCTCGCTGGGCACCTGCCACGTCGCCTCTACTGTGGTCATACCTTCTGCCAGGCGTGTGTGCGGAGGCTTGACACGCCAGCCCACGAGCAGCGCTGGATCCCCTGCCCTCAGTGCCGCCAGAGCACGCCCACGCCCCGTGGAGGGGTGGCCATGCTGGACCTCGACCTGGCCGCCTTCCTGGCCATCAAGGCGGAGCGGGAGCCGTCTCGCGTGGAACCCCAGCCACCCACACCCCTCAAAGGCAGCACCGCCATCACTCAGCAGCCGGCCGGGCTCTGCCCCAGCTTGGGCCCCCAGCCCCACTTCCCCCGGCCTAGATGCTGCTGCGGGAGCTGCAGCAGCCTCTGCTGGGCCCCCCTGGGCAGTCCTGAGGTCTGAGCTCCCGGCAGGGGAGCTGCTGCCTGCGCCAGGCCTGCCTCAGAACCTCTGACCACGGCACAGGCAGCCGGGAGCAGCCTGGGGGCAGAGTGTCCTGGGTGCCACCCCTCGGGGGTCACAGCCTAAGGCCTGGAGCTGTGCCCAGAGTACCAGGAGACTCTGCAGAGGCTGGAATCCCAGCCAGGATTCCCAGGCCCCTGTGTGCAACAGGGGGTGGGGCACTGCTGTCAGAGTCTCGCTTGGACCAAATGCAGGGCATGGCTCCTGAAAGGGTCTGATGGCCAGTCCCTGGGGTCTGGGCTGCAGGTCGGAGGGCCAGAGCCCAGAAAAGGCTAGTCTTGGTCGTGCTGGAGCAGTTTCCCTCCTCAACAAAGTGTCCCAGAGGTGTGAGCTGGCAGCGGAGGGAGGGCCACTTCCTTCACCTCTGGCCTGTGAGGCAGCCCTGTGAAGTTCATTCACTCAGCTGAGCTCACTGAGCTCCCACCGTGTGCTGGATGCTGGTTCAGGAGGGTCGTCTGCAGGCACAGTCACCTCTGTAAAAGGTGTCCAAGGAGCTCCAGGCCCAGTGAGGTGGGGACAGGCCCGAGGTGGCACTGCTCAGAGCTGCCACCCACCCCCACACGGGGCTCTCGGCTTCCTTCTACCTCCCAGTGGCCACCATGCAGACTGTTCAAGGGGAGCAAAGCAGGTGCCGGAGATTACGGATGCAGACACCCACCAACCTGGCTGCAACAGCCCCACCCCCACACAGGAAGGAGCTGTCACTCAGGAGCCCTGGGAGGGCTGCTGGGCCGGGCCAGGGCAGTGGGTGGCAGGATGGGAGAGACGGACAAGAGAATGTGCTGAGAGGACACTCAGAAACCTCCTTCCAGGGGTCAAAGTCCTCTGGGCACAGCGGTCGGTGGGCAGCCAGCAAGGTGTTTGGAAGACTAGGCCTGAGAGGGAGGTGCCCAGCACCAGCAGGGGCAGGAAGGGGACTGACCCCAATAAGGGGGAGCCCACAAGCAAGAGGGCCTGTCAGGGGTCAGCCGAGGAGAGAACAGATTGGGCCAAGCCTTCTGGTCCAGGTGGGGTCTGGCAGTGGGCTGGGCAGCAATGAGGCCTGGGGAGGGGCCTCGCCCTCCCACTGGCAACAGAGGCACGGCACCCATGAATGTGACCCTTGCTGGCCACCACTGGGGATGAGCCTGTTGGGAGCTCTGCCAGGCCCAGCCCTGCCCAAACCCAGACCTGAACTGGATGACCTCCGGGGCTGGTGCCCTCCCGGGTCACATGGAAAGGCCCGCCCTCCCCACCCAGTTGGTGCCATCTGACTGGGGCAGGAAGACCACGATAAGGTCTGCAAGGCTCAGGGCAGACTTCCTCAGGGGTCCCCAGGCCAACCCACCAGAGCACCAGCATCCTGCCCGGCCTTGGCAGGCAGCATGTAGTATCCAGTAGTATCAGAGAGGTCTGCTTGTGGACGTCCAGCAGGAAGGGCCAGTTGCTCAGCCCTGCAACACCCTGGGTGACAGCGGGACCTGGCCGAGGCAGACACCTGGGGCTTCGATGGTACCCCTCGGGGGCCTCAGCTCCTGGGTAAACATTAATGGGGCTCAGTACACAGCAGGTCATGTGTGCGCCCAGCGGATCTTTGACCTGCAGCTGCTCCTACCCTGAGTCTCCTCCCCGAAGGTGCCCCTCACTACCCACACAGGTAGGAGCTTCTAGAACCAGGGGGGCCCCTGGGGTCAGGGCTGGGTGACCTCCAGGCCCAGGGCTGCGGCTCCCCTCTGAGCCTCCAGATGCTGAGGGTGAGAGACCAGCTTAGGGGCAGCAGGAGGGAGGGGGGCCTGGGAGTCAAGGTAGGGGCTGGACGGGGGCTCCAGGTCCAGCAGGCTGAGGGGGAGCCCTGCGGAATGGCTGGGGGCTCCTGAGCCCCTTGTCCTGCGCCCATCAGCGGGCAAAGGGCCCTCACCAGGCAGAGACGTTGCCATCTGGTGTCAAACGCTAAAGCCTCTGTGGTGACCATTGGCAGTGGCCTCCGTGACCCTTGATAGGAGAGGCCCCCGGCTCCCAGCCACTTCCGGCCCACACCCCAGCACCCTGGGCTGCCCACCAGACCTCCTTCCAGCCAGAACCAGCAGTAAAGCTAGGGCTCCCTCACCTCTGCCCCCCTAAGCTGGACCAGGCCTGCCTGACAGCCACTTGAGGCAATGTAGCCATCCCCCTGTGGATGGAGGAAGGGGAAGGTCACCGAGGCCAACAGCGAGTGGGACGGGAGGACAGCAGTGAGGTACCCTAGAGCCTGGTGGGGAGGGGGAAGAGCTGTCTCACCTGCACTTTCCCCAGCAGATCTGGACCTGGGCCTGGGTCTGTCCCTGCCTGAAATCCATGCCGAATTCCCTCACTGATGGCCAGGTCCCCACCCCTACTCTGGACACAGTTGGCCTGGTGGACCGGAGTCTGGGAAATGCAGGTACCAGGAGCCCCAGAGTCCCCAGCTCGGCCTGCCTCCCTGCCCACTCACCTGGCCCCTAAACCATGGCTCTGGGTAAGCCGGGAGAGGGGCTCCAGCCTGTTTCCATGAGAGCCCATGGGGGCTCGTGACAACTCCGGTCAGGGCCAGACCAGTTGGTGGACCCCTCTCCCCTTCCCGCTTCCTGCTTTGGTCCCTCATCCCAAGCCCCTATGCCGCAGTTCCCCCACCTGAAGGTCTCCAGGAAACAGCTGGGTCCCTGGCCCTCCCTGACCCCAACCCCTGCAGGGAACTCCGGTTCTGCCCCCATCTCGGAAGAGGGGGACACGGACCCCTGGGCCCTCCCTCAGCTGAAGGACACTGGCCAGTCCTGGAAAGGTAGGTCTGAAAATGCTGGGTAACTGGCCGAAAGAGGCTCTGACTTACCAGGGTCTGAGCAAGGAGAGGGTTCTTGGGAAGAAAGCAAGGAGGCGGTTTCCCCCACAGGCCATGGGAAACCCACCATGCAGACCACTGCAGGGGGACCTTGTCCCACAGCTCAACTGCCGTGCCCCACCCACTCTGCTCCTCCTCCTTCTGCTGCTGGCAGCCAGGCTTCCGGGAGGCCCTGAGGGGCTGTCGCTGGGCCACTCTCCTAAGGAACAGAGGAGGGGGACTCAGGCCCTACCCTGGGGGGCAGAGGAGCAAGGGACCTGGAGGGTGCTGGGGAGGGCAGGTTGGGATTGGTAGAGGACAGCCCTTCCCTGCGTCTTCAGAGCTCAGCGTGGCCGGCAGGGTGGTCCAGGCAGCAGTCAGCTTCCTCAAGGCATGTGGGCTCCTGGGCAGCCTCTACCTCTTCGTCTGCTCCCTGGACATCCTCAGCTCTGCCTTCCAGCTCCTGGGCAGTGAGTGGCCGGCCAGGCTGCTGGTGGCGGGCGGGGCAGGCAGCCAGCCGTCCCCAGCCTCAGTGCACCTCTCTCCCTGGTGCAGGCAAAGCAGCTGGAGACATCTTCAAGGACAACATGGTGCTGTCCAATCCTGTGGCTGGACTGGTCATCGGTGTGCTGGTCACAGTCCTCGTGCAGAGCTCCAGCACGTCCTCCTCCATCGTGGTCAGCATGGTGGCCTCCAAGCGTGAGTGCCCCCTCCCCTCCTGGGATGGTGGTGGCTGGGTGGGGTGTGGGAGGCTGACGTGGCACCCCCGCAGTGCTGACCGTCCGGGCATCTGTGCCCATCGTCATGGGCGTCAACGTGGGTACATCCATCACCAGCACTCTGGTCTCGATGGCACAGTCAGGGGACCGGGATGAGTTTCGGAGGTGAGTCGGGGGGAGGGCAGGGCCAGGAGCTGCAGGCGCGGCTGTGGCCGAGGCCTCCGACCGGCCCGCTCCATGTGGACTCAGGGCCTTCGGTGGCTCCGCCGTGCACGGCATCTTCAACTGGCTCACGGTGCTGATCCTGCTGCCGCTGGAGGGCGCCATGGCCCCACTGGAGAGGCTCAGCGCGCTGGCCCTGGGCGCCACCAGCCTGCAGCCTGGGGGCCACGCCCCCGACATCCTCAAGGTGCTAACACAGCCACTCACACACCTCATCGTGCAGGTGAGCCCGGTTGCTGCTCTGGGCAGGGCCCACGTGCCCAGGCACCTGGGGGATGGAGGGGTTGCCTGGGCCCTGCTTTGGGCGGGGGTCGAGCGCGCACAGCGGGCTGGGCTGCAGACATCTGAGCTTCAGGTGAGTCCTGAGGACCCAAGGCCAGGTAGACGGCTCTGTCCCCCAGCTGGACCCTGATGTGATTACCGGCAGCGCCACAGGCAACGCCACCAACAGCAGCCTCATTAAGCGATGGTGCCGCACCAGGGGGCAGACGGTGAGGTGCCTTTGACCCCCCACCTCCGACCCGCTCAATCAGCCAGGCCTGGCCACTCTGAGCCCGCCCTGAGCCCAACGTCCGTCGTCTTCCCAGACTGTGGGGAACAGCAGCCACTGCAGAGCGGCCGCTTTCAGCCCCTGCGCAG